TATTTACAATTTGGGATCACCACAATTGGGATCAACATTGCAATTTTTACTTTCATTTCCTCACGTTACCCGCTGCATATGGAGTCATTTTATTAGAAATTCAAATTTGAGACGTGGTCCTAATTTTTTGCAGTTGTGAACCATAGCGCAGCAAAACACGATTATAATTCAGATTGTACGTCCGACGTCCGACAATATTGACACTTGAAGTCCATATTGACACGCCTCTTGCACTGAGATAACCAATAGTTCAGAGTTACTAGAATATGATTCTAGAGCTTCAATAAATATTGTGTTGTCAGGGGAGCAACGCAATATTCTTTACACAACAACAAATTGCTTCATGTGAACGGAAATTGACGCTAGCGCACGCAACATCTTCGAGTGATCACGACATGCGCATGGGACACGAGCATCGCGTGGTGCGCAATGAGTGAGCGTGTATTACATGCATAATATGCATGATGCTAATAGCATACATAACCTGCACAACAGTCATAACTTGCAGAACCTGCATAACATGCATGACGCTAATAGCATGCATAACCTGCACAGCAGCCATAACTTGCTGAACCTGCATAACATGCATAACATGCATGACGCTAATAACATGCATAACCTGCACAACAGCCATAACTTGCAGAACCTGCATAACATGCATAACATGCATGACGCTAATAACATACATAACCAGCAGAACAGCCATAACTTGAAGAACCTGCATAACATGCATAACATGCATGACGCTAACAGCAGGCATAACCAGCACAACAGCCATAACTTGCAGAACCTGCATATTTAATAACCTGCACACGCGTAAATGCCTACCATGTACATACATGACCGGCATTCCCTGCATATACAGATAAACGCATAGTACCTATAACGACCAGCGGCTGGCGGTGATTGGATCAACCTGTCACAGTTGTAGTAACTCTGGCGTCATGTGATGCATTTAAAGTAAAGTGCCTTTCTCCACCAGACCAATAATATTGAAACGATGTTTAATTATCTTTAATTCCATGAAACAAATGTTTAATTCGACGTTGATGCAACGCCATATGTCTGGTGGGTCATTGCTATGCGAGACGAATTATTTTCTGACGACGCTGCAAAAGATGTATAGGAAGTTTTTTCTCGGTCGAAAAAACGTTTTTTTATAAGAATAACATATCTAATGGTGAAAAAAATGACCGACGGAGGCTATTGAGAAACCATGGAGACAACATCGATGGTATTATGTCAGAAATTTTAAGGCACACAGTTAGCCACACTCGTGTTTTTGGCAGCTTAATTTTGTTGTAGGTATATTTTTGTATAGTTTGCTCCACAGCTTGCAGGATCACTTTGCACAGCGTGCTGCAAATTATGCACTTTTGATTGCACACTCGGGATTGTAACTTTTTGGCACAGCTAGTTTTTCACAGCTTAATTATTGCAAAGCCATATATTCGCGTCAATTCGCCTCTTGGAGCCTGCCCGAACTTCAGTTCCGTACAGGTTGCATGGAGCGAAGAAGAGATACGTAGTTCTTGCAATAATTTCATTGCATTTAGCTGCTTCTTCTCAAAAAAGAGTCACGTCCGGACGTCGAGATCGCGAGCGGCGCTTTCCGAAACCGCGGAAACGGTCGTCTCTAGGGAATGGCCGCGGGGTCTCGCCGGCGAATGTGTATATGGGAGGAAGGCACGGAGCATCCACCATATGTGTTGGCTATGATCACTACCGTTGCAAGCAGTCACGGATTTCAATTGATACAATCAGAGAATGTAATGTTGTTTCAATAAATTATAATTCCATCTGGGTGCACAGGTTTTCATAGTTTACTCGTTTTATTTTTATTACAATGTTAATAAAATTTAAATCCAGGAGTGATTGAAATTGTATGTTAAGTATTCACCCTAATCATAAGGGGTACTTTAATGGGTATTACTGGCTGAATTTTTCGGATTTCATGAATTGCACTTTTATTTATAAGTGATGTTATAAATTCGTTCATATGTTTATGGAATTCACCAAGCAATTTAAACTTTTTTTCTCCAGCGTTGGTAAGATTTACCCTACCACAAGATAGTAAAAAACGACTTAGAGTGCTGTTTTCATAATATTTTAGCTGTGTTCCATTCATTTCACATTTTTAGCTGTGTTCCATTCATTATATTTCAACAAATGGAACAATGGGATTGAATGAAACAATGTCATCATATTGATACACATGAATAAATATTGTCAAGACACACGTAGACGTCGTTAGAACGTTGCACATCTCATTGTTGGCTTTCAAAATGTCAATTTGCACGCCCCAAGTTTTAGTCTTGGTCGAGCTATCCAGCGTTGCCTAAAACAACGCGACATTTTGACGCTCCAGTAAACCGAATTCGGTTCAGTGGAATCTGTGGCGTAAAAATACTTGTAATTTTACGTCTAGTAATGACGAGCGGTGATGGTAGTGTTGAACTAAAGTTCTAACACGAATAGCGTTTAAATAATTTAATTTAAGTAATCATTGACACAATTTGGGCTTCTGAATACAATTCAATTCGTATTTCGTGAATACGAATACATTATTTACATTTTTAGCGCATTTTCTCATTTATTGAAAAAATGCCCTGTTGAGCTCGTCATGCCCGCCTGTCAGTCCGTCCGTCTGTCCGTGACTTCACGTTTTCGTCGACGAGAAAATGCGCTCTCTGTCACTCACTGCAGTGAGTACTGAGTTATAGTTTGTGTATTATTCGTTCTTGACGATCCTCGATCAGTTTGAATTGTTCGTGACGATACTCAGTAGGAATCATGTGTATCGATCCTCAATAGGAATTCCGCACGTAACAATTGGGCAGTTGCGTAAAGTTAGGCATTTCCTTGATTTGAATTTTACATGTAGTATTGTACATGTAATGTACATGCACGACGGTATATTACATTAAACGACGAGTTTAATGTAATATACCGGAGTTGTATGCATCATGTATATACACGTTGCATTGCATATGTACACGATGCATTGCATATGTACACGATGCATTGCAAACGTACACGATGCATTGCACACGTACACGCTGCATTGCACATGTACATGATGCATTCCACATGTACATTATGCATTGTACATGTACACGATGCATTTCACATGTAAATTGTTCACGATGGTATATAGCACGTCTACATGCAAGAAGGCACCCTATATCAGAGGATAACTACTTTTCAAGCGTTGAGGTCACTAAATTTAATGTGTTGGTCGATGTACTGTATGGTAGTCCAGTAGTATTGCTTCTATATAGTCACATCGACGTTCATAATTGGGTTAGTAATAGAAGCAAATAATAAAAACTAATTCTGTCAAGTTGGGCCCCCACACTGAATCTTGTATTTTTCGTGACAGGTTAACAGGGGGTCTAAAATCTGATCGTTTGACTTGGTTCACCATCAACTGACTTTGGTGTTTGTAAACTACTGAATTTAGACCAGTTCTAGATGATTATTATACTTACATATGCCGCTTCATCACTATGTCGGGTCTGTTCTTAAAGATTGTTATATTGCAAATGAATAGTGAGAATGTATGTGTGGGAATGAGATGAAATGATTAATATATAATGGAACTTTTGGTTGGGATAAAGTGAATTAATTGGCTAGTATATGGCTAGAATGAAGGTAAAAATTAACAACAGATAAAGCTATATTACTTAAGTCTTTAGTTAACCACAATTAACTTCAATAGAAAATTTCATGTCAAATTGACATTTAAAAGCGTAAGCTTCGACGCAAACAATCCAGTTCATTTTAGAAGTATATACCGGCATTTTACGCTCGGCTATCTTCATCAGAAACGGTCTTGTGTCATAAAAAAATGGTCGCCAATTATTTCTTTGAGTGACCAGCTGCAATAAAGCTCAGCCCATTAATTCTTTACAGCCTCCTCCAGTTATTGTGTTTGGACGCTCGACTTTTTACGCCGTTGTTTTGCGGCTGCTGGAATTTATTGTGACGGCCACAATGAAAAAGTAATATAGATTCTGTTTAGACCTTTGAATTTTGTTTGTCTTAAATGAAGGTCATAGGAGCGAAAGAATCTTATATATCTAATTTCGAAAAATATTATTTTTATTAATAAATGTATTTTATATAAATGCTCTGAGTGTACGTTCTTTAAATGGAGCATTTTATCCTTAGTACAAAAATTTATTTGTCTATTTTCTGTGCATTTGTCTATTTTGTCTATTTGTGTGAAAATTGTAATTGTCTATTTGTACAAAAATTTCATTAGTCTATCTGATTTGGTAGGTCGGAAATCGACCTCATTGATTCAAAGCTTAGTGTGTGCGCGAAAGTCAAGTCATGGCCACAAATGCTTCGCGCTCAAGCAGGTTTGCGCTATTGGGCGATCGTTGAGCCTTGCCGTTGTCATTTCCACCGAAGCTCTTCATCATCAAATCATCGCGAGAGAAACTATCAGTGAGCTGCAATTCACTTTCCAAACGAATGATGAAGCGACCGACCGTTGGAGTGCTATGAACCTTTCCTTGCCTGCAACACGTCAGCCTGAAATGAAATCAGAAGCTTCTCATCGTCACAGAATTTCTCCATTCTCGTCAGCTCCTCCTCCTGCGAAGGTCCTTTGCGCCGCCATAAGCTGCTGAACTTCGTCTTGCTCCGCCCCGTACAGGGAGCTGTCTCCCCCTTGTGTTCCGTCACGCTTGGTGCTGGAAGAACTTGTACTGTTAACTATCAAAATGGTAACACAGAGAACAACTGATCAAAATTTGAGATTGAAGCATATTTTGAAATGTTTTCTATATCCATAGGTTTTACCTCTGCAGGCGTCAATTTTTCATGAAGAATTCCCCTAGTGGGGCCCTCACTGAGGACCCATTCTGTTGTTTAATAGCGCACGACCACAGGGGGGCGGAGCCGATACCGACCTATCAAAATGCTGGAGACTTCATAAAAGACTTCACCACAATCACATTACAGGCTGCCTAAACGCAACGGAGAATTATGTTCAGAGCTTCGAAAAGGAGACGCTGCCATTCAATTTGTTGCCTGGTTGCACTGCGGTGAAACTTCTGCTCGAAACATGAAACTCTTTTACACGTATTCGTAATCTACTGGTTTAGTCCTCAAGTTCATTTCGTGACTCAATGGGTTAAGGAAGGGGCGAATGACTTGAAAGATTTGAGGACGTTAGTGTACCAGTGTTAGCTGCACCTTGTGCTGTGCTGTGAACGAGCTCGCTTACTCCAGACTTGTTTATTGGTGTTGGTGAAAACAATGTTCAAACTTTGAATGTTTTGAGAAACATATTTTATGTATTTCATTTGTTCAACCGACAATTTGATTGAGGGGGCAGGATGAAATAAATAGGACAGAAAAGCGCTCCATAATAATAATAATATAAATGTCCTAAAGTGCCTTGATGCAGTGCCGTGTCAGTCAAAAAGTGAGTGCATGGTGAAGAAACTTGTTTCTGGTTTTACTCAACAACAAATTTTGGTTAGTCTTCCGAACTGACATTTAGACTGAAAATTCTCTCGAATACTTAACTTGAAAAACAGAATGTTTATTTGCACAGTTGGAGTTAACTTTGTGTGAAGCTTAGTCAGAAAATATTCGTGTTCAGTTTATTAATTGATCCTCTAAATATTATTTCATTTGCTCCTTTGGCATTGCTTATCCTGGAGTGAACGCCACTGAAGATCGGTCGTCAATTTCACGAGTTGGCAGAGGTAGGTTTGCCGACAACATTTTAATTTTTTATAACAATTTTTCGGCAAATTTTTACTTTTTTGGACTTTTGAAACAGTGAAATGCTGAAACTGCTGTTCGATGTTTAATTAACCAAATTTCAAAAAATACACCTTACCGTAAAAGCCTTAAAGTGTAATTTGTAAATTTGACTACAACAATTAAATAAATCACTCATGTATCAAAATTGACGTCCATTTTAAAAATGATAAGTATTCAGGCATTCATACTGCACAGTTATCATGTATGATTGAATTAGAAAAAATACATTTTTTTCGCACTGCATTGCAGTTCACTTGCTATTGCGGTTCAATTTTTTTACTGCTGGAGTTCGAATCAAGAATCGTTAAAACCTGCAGTTTTCTGCCACAGTGCAGATTACTGAAACAATAATAAATTATATAATATAATTTATATATGTTTATTTCGCTTATAATAATCTGACAAACAAGCAACGAATGTATTTATAAAAAATGAAAATTGTAAATAAGCAAATATGAATGGATTCTCAAATAAATAATTTGGAAAAAACTAATTTTGTAATGATATCAGCTCACATATCTATATGAGTGAATGAATGTTGCAGGCTGAAACGTTCGCTATGCTCGCCGTGATGTCGACCCTCAACGCTGAGCCCCACTCATCACCATCGTCACCTCAAACGCGTTTACAAACTCCACCACCCTTTCCTTCCAGCTCATCACATACCTCTACCTCTTCTCCTTCTCCCCTTCCAGCCTCAATCTACCCTCTGAATTTCTCCCGCCATCGGAGAGATTCTTCTCCTCAGCCATACGACGTCCACTTCTCCACCTCACCAGCCCTCACTTCCAGTTCACAGACTCTTACTTCACAAGTTATTCCTACTTCCTCATGCGCCGCGATTTTTTCCTCAATAAGATCAATGGCAACTATGGGGTCTAGACCCAGCGACATGCCACCAACTGCATCCCTCCCTTCACCAATCAATTTCCCTTTCCAGTTAAATTTAGACGGTGCTCGAGCTAACATCCTTTCTGGATCCCGACTCGTTCCGCCTTTGTTGCCCGCGGCATCTTTTTTGCCACCGCATGCGTCCGGAATTTCACCTCGTCAATCTTTGGTTCGAAGGACCCAGCCGGGGATTCGAGAGCTTCCTTCAGGAATTCGTGAACTCCATCAGGTGTCTATGAGTGAAACCAACCGCGGTATTAAGCGACATTTCGATCAGATGAACAGTGAGCAAAGTTTGTACAACAATGGAGAAGCGAAACGTGACATGGGCGTTCGGCTTGAAACGTCCCACGACAAGTTTCCGAGCGGGCACTTGGGTGTGATGGGTGGCAGTCGCTTGCCGCCCCACGGGCCTCTCAGGCTCATCCCCCCGAGCTTGGAGGAGCCCAGGAGGAAGCAGCGGAGGTACAGGACGACCTTTACGACCCAGCAGCTCGAGGAGATGGAGCAGGTCTTCATCAAGACGCAGTACCCAGATGTCGTCACCAGGTAATGATAACAAATTTCTTTTTAGGATATAATAAGTAGAAAATTCGAAAGTTGAGCTACTATTATGAATCTAAAATAATATTTGTTGGTTGGATTACTGGAGGTTATTATAGTCTTATATTCTTCAATGAAAAATTGCTTGCGAGTGTTAATTGAAAATTGAATGTATTTATATCTTTAACGTGACACTGGCAATACAAATTTAAATTCAATACATATATCTCACAACTTGTACATATCAATGAATCATGTAACCTATATTATTTTCAATACAAGTCCTAGAGAAATAACAGAATAATGTGTTGTAATCACAAACCTAACCTAAATTTTGATAAATGCCTCGCAGAGAAGAGTTGGCCATGAAGATCGGCTTGACAGAGGCCAGGATCCAAGTATGGTTCCAGAACCGGCGAGCCAAATGGCGCAAGCAGGAGAAGGGTGGGTCTCTAAGTTAAAATTATTAAATTATTATTATCAAAATACAATTAACGGATGAATTTATAATTAATATAGGCTTTCAGCTGATTCATAGCGATGTTCATTGTATAAACTAGGAGAAGGGTGGGATTCTATACATTCTGTAGTGTGATTAAAATTTTGCACGTATGAATTTATAATTAATTGATTTTTTCAGGCGATTCTTAGCGATGTTCGTTAGATAAATAAACAACGTGAAGTAGTTCTCACTAAATGGAAGTGAAGTAGTTCTCACTATATGGAAGTGAAGTAGTTTTCACTATATGGAAGTGAAGTAGTTTTCACTATATGGAAGTGAAGTAGTTTTCACTATATGGAAGTGAAATAGTGTTCACTATATGGAAAGTCAGAATTCGAGCTCATTCTAAAATGCTCACAATAACCTCCGTCAATAAGCATTGGTTTACAGTTATTTTATTGACAACTTCTCTTCATTTTTTCTCTGCAACAAATTCTTTTTCGACAATTTGTGTTTTGAAAATCTTCTTTTTTTTCCATAGATTTGAACTTTTTACAACACTTCTCTTTAACTTCACTTCTTGTCTGTCTGTCTGTCTGTCTGTCTGCTACATATCTTGTAATCGAAATTTAATACACTTCTACTTATCCTATCGAATTATCTACGCTACCTGTGTTCCGCCAAAATATATATTTGCTTTTATAACAATTTCAGTACCACTTGTTTTCACCCATCACTTGCTTCTAACAGTATCGGCAAACATGTAACACCATCTGATTCTAAGGATACCTGTTGTCGGCAAACGTTGTTTTCCATATCTCATGCTGTCAACACCGTATATTTTCAATACTGCATTTTTTTAAGGCTACTTGATTCTAACGCTCCATTTTTCCAACTAAACCTTGACGAGACCTATTTTAATCTTATCTAGCTGTTATTGACACTTTTGGTCTTTCTTATCTCATGTTCTCAACTTTACCTATTATCACAGCATTCTGTATTTCATGGTCTCAACTTCACCTATCATCACAACATCCTGCGCCTCATGGTCTCAACTTCACCTATCATCACAACATCCTGCGCCTCATGTTCTCAACTTCACCTATTATCCTATGTGTTGCCGTTATCTTGTATTTCAGCATGTCTTATTTTCAACTCTCCCTATTTTCCACTCGCAGGCATGAACGCTGCAGCCGCCGCCGCGGGGCAACAGGGCTACCCGGCCGAGTTGCTGGCCAAACTCCACTCACTTCCCTCCGGTCCCTCCCCATCCCCTCCTCCTCCTCATCACCAAGAAAAAACTGATGTGCGATTCCCTCAGCACCTCATCTATGCTCATCAGCCTCCACGTGACACTTCCCCAGGCCCATCCTGCTCCTCCCCCCGCAGCCTCAGCCCACATAATGAGAATTTTGCTTCCTCCCGTGAAGAAGCTCACGACTTCAGGTGATTAAAATGTATAAGTTAAGCATAATCTAATTGAGAGCAACAGGAATTTACAATTAACATTGAATGGAATAAGGTTAAATTTTAATTGGTAGGAAATGAGGTTAGAGTAGCGGAAATATTGAACGGGAGGTCGAAAAGTCCACGGTAATTTCACCCACAGTGTCATTTATTAGTATTTTTTCTTGTTAGGTGTCATGCGATGATTCCGTACAATAAAACTTAGTCAATTTTCGATATTTTATAAGTTTATTTTGTTTAATTATTCTAACATTGCTCAGACTGTTTTTCTTAATTAGTATCATATCCATTGATTTATATTTGATTGAGCTTCTTTTGATTAGAAAAATGATATATCGTTTTATCATTTTCAGAATTGTTCAAATTTTTTTCCTTAATTAAAAAAACTAAATTGATTTTAATTATCAGATACCCGCTGCTGACGCCATCATCTCTGCTCTATCAGAATTCCTTCCACGCGTTTGTGGCACATCTTAAATCCCGACACGAGCAGGCCGAACTCAGAAGAAAAGATATCAACGCGGCTGATGATTCAAAGAGCAGCGTTGATTCAAACGAAGACAGGACAGAAGATAATACAGTTGAAAGTCATGAACCAAGAGAAGGATCAATTGAAACTAATGCGAAGGAGGAAGAAAACAAATATGAACCTGATCACGATGTTGAGCCCACGGATCTCAGCAACAAGAAATCCATGACCGACGAAAGTGATGCTGCAAACGATGTTGCAAAACAGGATATTGGAAAACATTTATTACAATCTCACGATGAACCTTTTAGTTGGCGATTTTCTGAATTCCAGCGCGGTTCAGTCGAGCCATTACATTCTTCAGCTCCAGAGGGAGCTGCACAAAAATGTTTTATCCCTACACCATCAGGCACTTGTCCTGGAGGCTCGAGATCCATTGACAACTCAGCTAACAAAATAGAGGCAGAAGAAACCGAAAACAATGTCACCACACGTGAACATACGACCTTAGATCTTCAAGCTATGGTTGCGTTCAGGGCTCTGGAGACCAGCAGGACTCTGGATCTTGCAACTCTGGAGCAATACCGACGTTTGTTGGAGAAGCGAAGTCTGGAGGCCAAATTAAAGCAAGAGATGAGCCGTCAGTTGACTCTGGCAGGTCTACATAGAGCTCATGATGACATACCACTACCTTACCATAACAACATCAAAAGCAACAATAACAATAATGATTCCATGAAGTGTAACAATGGTAAAAGTTTTCATTCATTCCCCGAAATTTCTTCCCCAGGCCGTACGCCTCCTCCTACTCTGGCTGAAGATAAGGTACAAGGCGATAATGTTGTTCCAATTAAGCTCGAGCCCAGCCAAAATAACGAAGAAGGTTGATGCTGTAATTACACCGGAAACTGCTGCAATTAATGGAATGCTTGTGGCTCAGAATCCATGAAACAGTTCGACGAAATATTATGTTTAAGAAACCATATTACATAAAAGTTTAAAATAATTTTAATCAGCCTCCAGTCACCTTCAAGAAATCAGTATCTTAATTCATAAACATGTTCAAATGTTATCTTAAAAAATTGATCTGTTATTCCATAGGTATTATTTGTTTATTAAAATGTCACTGCATCTTACTTTATTTGTCAATTATTACGTTACGAAGCACTTTGAATTCATTTTAACACGTTAAGTGCGACACGACCTACCGGCGCTTTAATTAAGATGGCCTAAAAACGGCCAAGTTCGCGGATAAAAAGGCCTATAATTCAAAATATACTAGTTAATTTGTAGGTTCCGGTGCAGAAATTTATAGAATTTGTCCGAAAAAAACCTGCAGCCCACCGGTGGGTCGTTCAGCCTCTAACGTGTTAATACATCAAATTAATCAATTCATTGTATCATCGAGCTGTATCAATATTGCGGAAAAAGCACGTTCTATATCGTATTATAAATAATTATATTCTTCCAAACAACTAATTTTATTGAGTATTACCGATTCATATTATCTTACAAATAACATACTTCCGTATCTGTTAAAAAAATGTCGTTCAATCTTGAGGTTTGACTGCCGTTGAAAAATTCTTTAAACTCTTACAGCAATTAACTGTCTTTTTCTATCTATTTTATCTTCCCATTTCTACGATATTTTTAATACAGCACGCAGATCGCGCGCAAGTAAAATCCTGTACAGAACTAAATGGTGTAATGGATGTTAATGTAAATGAAATTTTCAATGGTATAATTATAAGCAAAATTTGTCATATATTGTGAGTAATTACTTTTAATATCATATAAATGTGAATAAAGTAGAAAAACGCATTAACCAATCGTCAATAAATTATAAAAATCTAATGATTGTCACTCGCGTTCTGTATAAAATTAATTTCAGAGCAAAATAGTATATTGATTCTTACCTTATGTGAAGCGCTGTCATATTGAATCTGATTTTATTTTAGCGGGATTTTTCAACAACATCTTAATTTAAAAGATTTTCTACGAATTCACAGTGCTGAAAAATATATTATACAATATATTTACCTTCAGGTAATTCATTTACCTTACTATTTACAATAAATAAAATATTTTTCATTTATATTGATAATGTTATACAACTGAGAAAGAATTGTTGTGCCATGTTCAGCATCAGTGGTTTTTCACATTCTATGTATAAAGAACGACAACTGAACTGTTTAATAAAACTTGGAAATGCTTTATTTTGATGCAGAGAGATCCCAAGCCCTTTAGATGTGGTCAAATTGTTAAGTTACTCCAGAATTACCGTCGTTTTCTTTGATTTTTATTTGTTCGTTTCATTATTTTTCGGGCAAGTTCCTCCAAATCTTCGTGCGAGTAGAGCGTTCGCAATGGTCACCTGGCTGTCTGCGATCAGTAATGCTTCAGTTTTGTGAGTGTGTGGTTGTATGGAGTTGATGAGAATATGTAAACTGTGTGATACTACATCGTTGAGAAGGATTTTATTATCCTGACAAGCAATTAACGATCTCAATTACGTTCATAATGATCGACTGTGAACAAAGAATTCGTTACCCGCTCGCTGCTCAGCTGAGTAGTTCAAAACAGCGGAAGTGAGCGGTGAATAATTTGCTTGACAATAAAAGAGGCTTCCGACTAGGTATCGTGGGCAGTTTAACACGACTTCCAAAATATGAGTCGAAACGGGGCGTACGGGTCGCAAGGAGGACCATCCTTTAAAAAGAAATTTGTAGATCTTTTCCGTCACATATCCCATCCTGGGAGCAATGGGAAAGACGGAAGGGAGCATCTGGCCCCATCACGACCAGACACTTTCATCAACAAATATCTCCTTGGGTGAGTAAAACATAGCCTTCTGTGCTCTATATTCATCTCTTATTCTTAGTTTACATCTATTCAGGCTTTTAACAGGATTTTAGCCGTGCAGGAAGAAACTACAACCTTTTAAACTAGCGCATGCGGGTGGTTCAAGAAGCGTTTTCCTGTTGGGGTTGCGGTTCTCAACTGCCAATCAACGCCAACAATCCCCAACACATCCGATCACTCATCCGTTCTTTGTCAGTTGTCGCACTAGCGTGCGTTTTCATACTTTGTGGCCGTAAAAAATAGCTGACAATCTCTCGTGCAATTGAATTAATAACCTAATGTGATAGATGTGAAGTTATAAAATTTAAAATATGGTAACGTTCGAAAGAGATATGTATACCAAACTGAGCGTGACCTGGCCTTGGAGTCTCCCGTGGCTAGTAGAAGTCAGCGATGCGAGTTTCTGGGAGCCCTTAACTGGTCATGCCTCATGCGTGCTGCCCTGCACGGTGCAGGGCAGCACGCACAACAGACACCGAACTCCGAAGTACTCCTGAAAGTTTCCTTATACTCAAAAATGTAAACAAATCTTGGTATTAATTGAAGAGAGATTAATAATAATTCATTAGTCAAACAAATGGACATTTGAGTGGTATATGTAATTTTGTTAGTAAAATTAATGTTAACAAAGAATTACCACTGTATATATTATCTGGCTGAAAGGATCAACTTCATTTTATAAAGGATTTAGGTTTGCTTCTCTCGATATAAAGTTTTGCTATTATAGGTCCACTAGAGTTGTTTGCGTTTGCAGCATATGACCTAAAGTCTAAAGTTTCTCTAAACTGTCCCGCTAACCCGCGCCATGATTACTGATGTATGTTACAGAAAATAAATTTCCTTATTTTTTGTTTGACGATACATGTTATAAAGAATTTGCTAAAATATGAGAGTACCCTGAACATGACTATCTCAGGGAGTGCTCCATCTATTGCTCAAGTCAAGTGTGACTAACACTTTGCCCTAACAAGGTGGCTATTATCCATGTGACGTCAGTAAGTGCGTTTAATTGTTAGCATTTTTTTATTGATTCACTGAAGTTTTATCAAAACTTATTGAACACGGAATTTTTTGCTTATATCGGAAGAGAAGGGTAGCTTTCAGAGCTTCAATTATATTAACCTATCAGTATCGGGCTCGAAAAACGTATTTTAGCGCATGAACCAAGTGCGGAAGTGTGCATCGAAACCAAAGACACCATTTAGACGATCCGAATCTTGAACTGGACACTACGTTCTTCATGTGAATAATGGCCCTTATTTCAAGCTAAAATACGATCAAAAGGATTATTTTTCACCGCCTGTGTTACTGTGTTTTATATTCGTACGTTCTTTCAGTGTCCAGTTCAAGGCTTAGCGTCAAGTAGCGCGTGATTGATTCGAGTAAGCTGTTGAGGGGCGCTCAGCCGTTTGATAACCACTTCCTTTCAATCAAACAGAATTTTTCTTCGAGCCGACTTACGTATGCTCTAATTCCACATACATAAAGAGGGTTATTTTGAGAACAGAATTTCCTCAATATTATGGTTGCAACTCTAGAAATTTATTGTGAACTTGGTGCTATCGTACAGACATGAGAATTCGGTCGGTGAGAATGTTGTGGTTAGGAGAGCGACAGCGTCCTACATACTGCCTGCATATGCGTCCTACTAAATGTCGTAAGAGCTCACTTCAGTTCAGACTACTCTTGACTCATTTACTAAGGAGTATTTACGAACAACCAGACTAATCAGTTGAATATTAATTGATGACACACATAATTTCACCGTTTCTAGCAAGAATAGTCTTTGTTCACTTCTAGTTCGTTTAGAATTGTTTGCATGAGAATAACTAGATTGTTTGTGTAACTATTTAGTTTTTTTATAGTTTATTTATAAGTTTTGAAAATGGGACGAATGAACTTGAAATTTTCATATGAGTTTACTAATTGTTCTTCGCGCAAATGATGTATTATATACGTCTATTTTGTTTTGGGCTCAAAACATGTAAGAGGTGAAAGCGAATCGAAGCTATGATATCTGTGCAGGGTATGCACCTCACGACCGGCAGCCACTCTCCCATTGAAGGGAATTCACTCCAATTATCGTACGGTCTGGGCGCCTAACTTGATACGGGTATACGTCTGGCGCCGACACGCTTTACTGCATCTGCCTGCGCAATATATTAAATACACGATTAAAAATGTATACTTTCCAAAATAAATGTTAAAATTTGGAATTTTTGGTTAAATTTTAGGATTTAGGTTTTTATTTTCTGAATCTAAAACATTTCATTTTTTTAATATCGCCAAGAAATCGCGAAGACGTCAAGGAAATAGTAACACAGATAAGGAACAAGGAAGAAGGAAATCAAGAAAGTAGTATAAGGTCATTATATACGAATATACGGAATGCTAAGGTTATGATGCTTAACTCGGTGGAGGATGACTGCTGATATTTGTTCATGTTCTAAACTATTAAAACGGTGGAATAAAATTTAATTTGGTTGGTCAGAAGTTACAGAAGTTAAAATGAGGGAAAGGCATGCAGATTATGTTTGTGATACGGACGTTCCTGTTGACGAATATAATGACCCTAGTGCGAGATCTGTGTCTATACTGAAAGGGGCTTCAACCTTTATCATAATATTAAAACACCTGATATATCAAATGCGATAACAATAGTGGCTGTGATCTTAATGTTTTAGATGACCATGAGTCAGATACTAAGGAAGAGGGCATTGATGGTAAATACCAGTTTTAGTGATGGCATTGAAAGCTGCAGACTCGCAGCTCGGTAGCATGAGCGCGTGGCCCACAAGGTCAGCCAGCGTCTGACGAGCGCTGGTCTTGATCAATATACTGTAGTCGAGAACGATGCAGCTGCTGCTGCTTGCTTCGGACTTCTGACTGACTACACGACGTAATGTTGTTACGCCACGGTAAAACGCCTCTTATAAGATTATGTGATTTTAAGAAGGAAATTGTTTAGTTTTAAATATACACGTCGTAATGTTGTTACACAACAACATGACGCTAGTCCAGATGACGCCATTTCAGAAAGAAATTTTTTTTTGCTAACTTACGAGACACGCTCTGAGGTTCTGACGCCTTAGCATTTTCATAGTAAAGGCACGGTTATGTTAAATGTAATACAAAATTTTTAGCTTTCACTCCACGCCAATGTGGTTGCATCTTTACATATTGCAGCATTGCTGGCTGATTAAGATGACGCAATTGTTTCACGCAAGAATTATCGCGTCATTTTACCTGTAAGAACGAATATGGTTTCGACTAAATCTGTCTCTTTTAACCGAGGGCGTCGTGCTCATGAACATAGAACGAACAAACGAATGCCCAGTAAATATTTTTATGTCCAAAATGACGGCAAAGGTATTTATTTATTGTCAAAACGGTTTCATGCTTGAAATGACAGTAACAAATTTTAAAATGTCAAAGATTCATTATTTATTGCAGAGAGTCTCGCGGAGCCCAGCCACAGATCTTGAGCGGCCGCAGCTGCGACGACTTGCCCCCAGTTCGGATCGGCCGCATGCCGTGCCAAGTTTACTCAGCCTTCACGGGCCCTGGTGGGGGTCTGGCTTCGGTGAACTGCATCGCTCCCACACTCAATATTTCAGATCAAGATGTGGACTTCATCGACGAAGACGCCGGCCTTCCTGACGATCAGCCAAACGCCTACGTGACGTGTCAGAGACCGCCTCCACGTAAGAGTCCATTTAGTGATATGGCCATGTACTTCAGGCGGCCCTCTATGGCAACCAAGCCTGATATAAGATCAATTCAAGAAGATTTACAGAGTAAGAACAACAATATTATTGTGCGGGATGATTCAGGTGACGATAAAAGCAGGACTGGGCTTAAATCATCAGATTTTAGTGGAAAAGCCTACGGAAATTCTCTGGAGTGCATTGTGCCTTCTTGGCGCGGGGAAGCGCCGTCCCCTCTGTCCCCAAACCTCACACGGGCACCTCCTAACGCAGTCATACAGTTTGGCAGCAACCCTTTGACTTACGAGCTGAGTATTGGCGGCACTGCCTACGCAGGTGTAGATTGTAGCGGCACTCGCAGCTGTGAGAACATCTGCAGCGCTGCGTCCCCTCTATCAAACTCCTGTTCCTCGTTTTGCGGTGGCAGTCTTGGCAGTTTGGAGGAATTGGGTGTGGCAAGAGCACAGACGGGTAATGACCCGGTATTGTTCAATGGTAACGATTCCAAGAACTGTGCTGCAGCTTCGTTGTCCCATCTTGACGGTAGTGAACAGTCAACTTCGGTCCCAATCCCATCTGTCTGCGGAGCATTAAATGTAACCCACGAACCACCATTCTCATCAGCATCCTTGCCTACATCTTCGTATTTGAATTACATTTCTAATATGGACCAGAATTTCAATCCTGTCAATGATCCTTGTATCAAGAAATCTCCTCCTAGTGTGACGAGAAGCAATCCTATAGGTCGTCATATTATGTCCCCCACTAATGTGGACCATTCCGAGACATGCAGCGCCCCTACCACGCCTAGGAGTGATCCTGGTGACAGCCAAGTATGTCATCCACAACAAAGTTCCATTTCGTTGGCTCCGACAGAGTTACCTACTAAAAAACATCAGGAAAATCGGGCGGTATCCCAAACGCCTCTGCAACAAAAACTTCTACAACAGTCCATTGCCAGCAAATCTCAGTCTCGAATCTCGAACTCGAACCTCAACAACAACATTCGCAACTCTCATGGTGACTCAAATCTTAATAGCTCTCACATAGTTAACAGTAATGATATTAATTTTTCTCCCGCGTGTAAAGCGAACAACAATGTCGTAGGTTCGGACCTCACTAACGAAGGTGGTTTGATAAACCACAGGGCCAAATTCCTGACGCTGGATCTAGTGGAGGGCTGTACGCTCTCAGGTTAGTGGAAGACCTCATTAATTTTTTGATTGAATTTTTGTTCTCGTTGTGAATTTGAAACGCGTTAACCAGCCTCCGGCATGTCTGTGGCATGTGGACTTGCTTTGTTTTCGAACTAATCGCCTATGAGCACTCTCCCGCTTCTTTATTCGGCTCGTTCACTATCACGTTAGCGCCGTAGTTGTTTCTAATTCTTGCTTAATATTTTCTGCAATAATGAATTACCATCTTCAAAAGTAGATATTTTCAGAAAAGCAGCAGTTTAATCACTATATATATGCTTATCAATGAAACCAGCATTAAAGAACAATTCCTGCCGAATTGCATTATCAATAAAACCTGCATTAAAGTACAACTTCTGCCGAACTACATCGATGTTTTCTGGTACCGTTAATGTGTCTTTAAAAATTCAAAATCAAATTGTAAAGACACGAATATGTGTGCAATGCAACTCATAATTTTTAAAATTCTTCCACTAAGTGTGTTGGAATTTATCCACTATTGTTACTAGTTCAAAGAATCACTCCTTATTGAGAGCACTTGCACGTCTTTACCTTCGTGGAGCACCAACGAACTGTTATTGTTGTTGTAATTACTTTGATTTTTAACGATGCATCACTGCGTGACAACATGCTTTCTTCTAATTCACGTACATATTTTGTTGTGTTGGCGCTTGAGCGTTCGATGAATAGTTTTGCCTGTGCAAACAATTTAAATATTCAAGAGGTGCTGTTCGTTATTGTATAAAATTATTTAAGGAGTTGATTATCTTTGTTATAAACTTCTTAGCTCGTTGTCACCGGTTCGAGAGAAGGCAGTTGGAACAATGAAGCGCAGTAGTACCAATTTGCTTGTAATTTGCATGACTGTGTATTCGCGTATACACTGCCATTCGTTTCTTAAAATATCACTCAAATTAATAATAATCTTTTTATAACAACAGCACGAACACAAATCTAAAGTGTGAAGGAATGCATAAATTGTTTCGCTTAATTAGAATGCTAATAACTTTAATTGGCTGCGGTAGTTTTATCACGATTCTCATGTTGGATTTAAGTACTGCTTTTAAACATGAAGTTTTTGCGATTTTTGACCAGCTCGCATCAAATTGGCTCTGTAAACATTGCTGGTTTGAACGATCTATGCCAAATTCTAGTTGACGTTCTTCCATTCAACACATTCATTATAAGCCGACTGACATCTGTGCATCTATGATGCTGATGCAGTTTTTCTAGAATGTACCTGATTAATTAATCTAGAAATAGCTTAGTGGTCTTGTCCCAAATTATAATTCCATTATACTGAGTTCAAGCATTGATATTTTCGAACCGCGAAAGCCTTCTGTTTTCCAAACTGCCGTTTGTGGTACTCAAACAAGCTTGATTCATAGTCCTGTGTCAGTTTGATCATTTATCAGCCGTATGTGGCAGATTCGGTGACTTTGCAGGATACCTGTAATGTAATAAAGTTCAATGTAATGAAACCAGAAAATGTAATAAAGTTGATTACAGTTTTATTATAGGCCATATTCATTGCCTATTTATTATAAGTTGTTACTGATGACATAAATTTTATTATTCATGATCTATTTTAGGTTGTTACCAATGACATAGATATTAATATTCATGACTATTTTAGGTTATTACGTACTAATGACATAGATAGTAATATTCATGACCTATTTTAGGTTGTTACTAATGACATAGCATAGATATTAATATTCATGACCTATTTTAATCTGTTACTGATGGCACTGCAGCACCACACCCTGCGCTCAAGCGCAGCGAGCAGGAGGAGGTGGCAGGCGTTCTCAACTGGAACAGACCGAGCGAGCGCGCCTTTGGTCTCTCGACCACCTTGTATGAACGCCACCCAATCACGCGGGAGAGGGCAGGTCGGTCCGGGACTGTGCTTTGGAAAGTATGGAATTTTTTTATTAGTCTTTGTTTCGTCCAAAGTAACAGGGAGTTTACTACCTACACGAGGAATATTTGTGACTCAATGTTTCACTGAGAAAAAATTTTGTGCTTTCATTTGGAAGCGCAATCGTAGTTGTCCAAGCAGTGCAAACACACTCTGCAGTCTGCACAGTCATAGCATTAATATGCTTGACTGTGCCTAATGTTCATAAGCTCACATAATTGTTATTGCATGAATTTCATGGGAAAGGACGAATTTTTGCATGCTATAGGGAAAGGGCGATAGGACTTTCCCATGCTCTCATGGGAAAGGACGAAAGTTTGCATTGAGAAGCGCTGTATGTAATCATCTCCCTCACGTATGAAAATATTGTACATTATGTACGAAAAAATGTCACTGTTACGCAAATCAAGTACGACGCACTTTGGTCTGACCGGCCAATTTGAGGCGAACTTTTTGAAGTTATTTTCTATACTTGTATATTTACGGAATGTTTTTTTTAACACAGGAAACCCCATCGCTGATTCTTTCGGGGTCGTAGCTCGCTACAACAGCGCTTTACTGGCTCTTGCTGACGGTGTGAACTGGGGGGAGAAGGTGAGCTCCATAGAAGAGATGCAGCAAAATTTAATAATTTCATTTTCTTAAAAGTTGTTTTATTTAGCATTTTATAATGAGTAATATGTAATTTTAGTGAGCCAAAAGAAAAACTTTCAACGAACATGAAGAAAAATTAGCTCCTAAATGAGTGAGTTAGACTGAAAAGTTGAAAAGTTTGACAGAACTTCTGAATGTTAACTCACGCAGATGAAATATCGGTACCTGTTTTTTTTTGTTCAGGTTAATTTATGCTCCCGATATTTTTAATGGCCTCGATAAACCCTGAGATGAAGTTCTCATCGAAACCGATTGAGGAAATTTTGCTAAATAATTACTGGAAAAAAAGGAATAAATGCTTTTAAATTGTAGATATATTTATAGATTTTCCTAGAATTTTTCATTTTTGATTTGTGCGCAGGCGTGCTTGGCGGCTCGGTGCGCGGTGCAAGGATGCCTGGCGCACCTCAACGCGGCGATCTTCTCGCCCACGCTCGCGCACCCGCCGCGCACCACCACCGTAAGTATCACGGACTTGTTAATTAAATTATTGCAGTTACTAAATTATGTGTATTGGTGCTTGGCGTATGCTAGTGACGCGCTCACAGTACGAGTACTTGGGGTACGTATAACACGCATACGTACTCCAAGTACTCACATGGCGCATGCACATTCGCCAAATGTGCACTCTTAGATGTGCTCGCATGCTGTGTATTGATATGGCGTGAACTTACATTAAGTACATGTGCATGACGCGTACCTATAGACGTGTAGTCATAGAAATGTACTCGGATGACGTGTACTCTCAGAACGTACATTAACATAAAGTGCCCTCACAAGATGTGTACTCACAAGAAGTAAACTCTCTGGACGTGTACTAACATAAAGTGTACTGTACTCATATAAATAAAAGTCACAATATGTATACTATCATGTCGTGTACTGTTACAGGATTTATTCGTGGCGCTGCTGAGGAGCTTTCACGCGGCGCACAACCTCATCCTGCAGGAGGGCGGTCAGCTCACCACCCTCACCGCTGCCATCGTCGCCCCCGTCAGGTGCTCATATTACCTCTTCATTACTCTGTCCGTTGATCCATTATTCTGCCAGTTGATCCATTATTCTGCCCGGTTATCCATTATTCTGCCCGTTACTTCGTACTATTGTCCGTTACTCTATTATTCTGTCCGCTACTCCATATTTAACATCTACCGTCCATGACACATGTGTCGCCATTCAGCAGATATTACACTTGACTCGCCACTCGTCCACAAGAGCCGTATAGTACTACTGGTCAGAACTACTATTTGTAGGGTTCGGTGAACACATAGGAACTAAAATGTTTAGATCTCACTAGAAATTTAAGGTATAGTTTTATTTAAAAGAAAAATAGATCGTTTTTATTGAAGGCTGACGACATTAGTTTTAGCTATTAGGTATTTGTTGAATAGTGATCATTTACATGCACAATAGTTTGCATGTCTATCCGAGGTAGTATTGCATCTAGTTAGCATGTGTATAATGAGTTTTTAGACCGGCATCGTTCGTAGAAAGATGCTTCATGTTAGACAAGCCCAGTTTCATGTCGTCATGTAAAGTTTATAATTCTCCAAATTTCCTGCATGGATGAACTATTAATTGTAAATTGACAATTCTCTAAATTCCATACATGTGGAAATTGTTAATTTTAAAGTTGATAATTCTTCGAGTTCCGTACATGTATGAATTATTAATGATAAAGCAAATGTTATTGTGCAGCAAGAGCGGGCGGTACGTGGTGTGCGTGTGCAACGTGGGCGACTCCCTGGCGTACGTTTACTCCCAGCAGCACGGAGTCAGGGAGATCACGCAAGGTGAGTTCACTTTCTTTGAAATTGCGCAATGTGAATTGACTTTATTAAACCAGATTTCAAATTAGAGCCGCTAAAATTTCGTGTAAGTGGTGTCGAATAAAACGAGTGTTATGTTTATCTACCTGTGCATCATTATTAATGTGCCTTCATCTCGATCTTTTTGAGTGATAAATGTTCAACGAAACTTATTTGTTGATCAAATAAAAGTTGTTTATCGGAAACATACTCGTTATTTACTTTCTATACATACTACTAACTTGATACACGCACCTCTTAATTTTCACTCGAAAGTCACAAAGGTATCACACACGTTTCTTAATTTTCATAGCCACCAACTGGATACACGCATGTCTCAATTGCCACTTCGCCCAATGCTATCCTCTACATTATCACCTTCGTCGCATGACACCCATTGCTCACTTGGGGAAGGAAATTTCAGCGTTGCACGACGTACACATCCCACTTCACCTTCTGTCGCGCGAGATTTTAGTTCCACTTATTTCTAGAGTTACACGACATTCACTTCTCACTCTCCTCTTAGCGTCCCACGACATTTTCGTTCAGTGTCCCTCGAGCCTCGCATGACATGCACTCCTCATAGCATTAAAGCCATACTTGCCCCATGACATGCACGCCTCACTTGTCCCATAGCATTAACGCCTCAATTATCATATGACATTCACGCCTCACTTATCCCATGACATTTATGCCTCACATGTCACATGATATTCATGCCTCATTTTTCCCATAATATTCACAATCCCTATCCACTCCTTGGGATCTTGCAGCCTTCAAGTCATAATTTTGTGACATCCCAGAAACTTTCACGTCCCTTTTTCCCTGCAGCGTCGCACGACATCCACAGCATGCGGGACATGCGGGACGCCCTGGGGGCCCTGGGGCCAGTGGACGGACTCAACCCTGAACTCAACAACCTGACGTGCTCCATGACCTTTGTGGAGGAGGGTGACCTGGTCTTCCTCACATCCGACGGCATTTCGGATAATTTTGACCCGGTCGTCGGCAAGTTTGTCCTGCCAAAGAAAGAGGAAAGCGGGGAAAAGAGAGAGAAGACAGAGAGCGAGTGCATGCAAGAGGAGAAGAAAAAACGCCAAAAGCAGAAAATGAACTTGCAAGCACAAGAGCAACAGCAAAAACCTAATTTTTCGTTAACTAGCAAGAGTAAAAGCAAGCAGTCGAGAAGGCAGATGCAGTTACTGCAGAAATATGAGCAGATCTGCCAGCAAAATCCTAGAAAACAATCACGGGGACAGAGGATAAGACATCAGCAGCTACTCTCCGTTACCAATGGATTTAAGCAGGTATGTAAAACTAGGTTCTAATATTTAATCAGAACTCTAATATATAACCAGGATTCTAATATTCTACCAGGATTCAGATACTTATCTTACTTCCAGGGTTCTAATCTCTGATATAGTGTTCGGTGTTGTACCCACAGTTAATTGTACTCAATTGTAAGTTGTAAGTGAAGCCTTTTTATTAGCTGCCTATTACTACATTTCAGGGCATGAATACCATGATTGATTATGAATAATCTGTGGAGATGAGTGCAGCGTTAAGACAAATCGATCGTGTTACAGTTGGGTTGATCGATACGTTTGTACTCCATCATGAATTTCCATTTTGCAATATCAACAATACCTTTTTGAAATGTGAGAAATATATACCAGCGCGACGTTATTCCAGCGTTCAATCAAATGCTTCTGCAGTGAAACGTCGAAAATCATCCTATTAGTTATGTCTATTTCTCGCATTAAGTCTTAGCACAATTTCTTGCTAGCCATATATGCGTGGTGTTGTAGTTGCGATGTATGCGTGGTTTTTTGAAAGGCAACACCAGAGTTGTTCACTAGTAATTCAAATTGTGAACACAGGCTTGGTGTGCTAGCGATTTCGAAAATAATTAAACCAAAAATTCTGAGTCGATTCACACGAATCACACGATCTCGAAGTGATTACGAGATCAGGTGTTTCCTGATATAGTCAACATCATGGTAGGTAGTTCTTGTTAAATCCTGAGGTAATGCATAAATGCTGGTGCTGTTTGCTGTCACTTCCGAGTAAAATACAGGGAAGCTCGAGAGCAATTTCGTGTCTGTGACAATTCTAAGTGAATGTGTGAAATCTGCCATAATGTGTGAATTCAAAGTCTACATGTCATTTGTGAGACACGTGTCATTTTTGAGACTAGTGTTAATTTTTAGTCATTGTGTCAATCGTGAGTCAATGTGTCATCTGTAAATGTGTCAGTTGTGAGTTAGTGTGTCAATTGTGCATCGCAATGTGACATTTGTGAGTCATGTGTTAATTGTGAATCAATGTGTCAATTGCTTGTAAAGAGGCTGAGGTCCCGCCGTCAGGCCGCGTCCAGTCATATGAGGTTTATTCACTATTTCTTGGAACCATAACTCTCGTCCTAAATAAGATGCAAGTCTCAAATTTGGGAGACTATTCCAGCTATTTTTCTTCATTCCACGTTCGTTAAGATAGATTTTGCAAATTTTGTCTTTCAACTGTTATTAGGAAAGGGAAAATTTTGCACCCCGTTGTTCGTGAAGCGAGCGACTTTTCTGCCTTTTTCTCGATGTACATATGTTTAACTATTTATTCTTCATTGAGCGGTAAACCAATCACTTTAGAATCAGATTTCTGGAATTAGATATAAGTCATTATACCAAAAAAATTGTGTAGATGCTGGGAAATATGTTATTTGTGATTCAATGTGTCAATTGTGAATTAACGTGTCAATTGCAAATGTACTTCAGGTTGTGAGTCGCAGCAAGTCTCAGCCGTCGGTGCTGGGGGCGAGCGCTGCGCCGCCCTGTGGCTCCGCCGCACCAAAGCAAGCCTCGACCCTGGGTTCGGCTGGTCTCAGTGGCAACCTCAGCCTTACCGAAAATAAGAATTCTTCCTCTGGAGACACAAATAAAAACCTAGCAGGCAACAGAAGCTACTTGCAGGATTCAGAGGACCTCGTACCTCCTGAAGTTGAGGCTCATCAGCGTCACGAGCTCACGCTGCTTAGGATGGAAGATCTTCTCCGTCGCGGCATCACAACCAATAAGCCTGTTGTCAACGCACAGGTTTGCTTTTTTTAAATTATGACGTTTCAAATTTTATCGCTAGCACAGGTGTTTGTTCTCGGGGTTTATTACAGAAATAAATAAGCAAAATTAGAATTAGTGGGGAGAATTTAAATTATGTTGCTACAAAATATCAGTTTGGTACGAGTGGACTGAAATTTTACGCTCATGCGCATCAGTAAACGGAAATGATTATTATAAATACGACGTTTGTACAATTATTTTAATTGTTATTTCTTCTAACAGTGTAATTATTGTGTGCAGACACTGTGTTTGGAGATGGTACACTTTGCGACCAAGTTGACGTTAGCAAAGCGACGTGTGTTGGAAGATCCTGATCTGTATCCGCCTCCGAAGATCACACCCTCCACCGATGGAGTCTCGGCGGCGGGCACTGAGCAGAAGCCGGGCACCTCGCAACTTTCCAGGGGCGAACAACGCAATCGTAGACGAAAAGTAAGCTATATTTCCATTAAAGATTTTACAAATCATCTTACAGTATAAGGTAATATTTTGTATTGAAATAATTTAAGAATGCAATTTACGTCCCTTTTTTTATTGCTGAATCAGGTACATGAGATCGTAATAATTGAATTAGGCTCAGGTTTAAACCTGATTTGCATTAACTTTTCGTCTCTAATAACATCGTTCATTAGCTAGAATTCTTGAATCCTAACCCTCTACCGCTGTATGTCACTCTCCGGGAACATACAATTATACTTTAACTATTGAGTGGAGCAACTTGAGGACGTTTGTACGCAACAGAGAACATTTTAAAGTTGTACGTGGCGGCAACCATAAGTGCAAGTCATTTTGCGCTCAATAGCAACGTATCCTTTTTGGGTAGGCTTGTGTGACAATATTGCTCCGGTTACTCACGTCCGACAGTAGAGGGTTAAGGTGATTATGGTCTCTGAAATGGTTTCAATAAAGAATAGATAATTTTCCTTTGTTAGTATTTGATAGGTCTCCGTTCACACATAGTGATGTCGGCTCTGAAGTGTAGGCCTGATGTGGCCTGTCGCCGATTCTTTTCCATTTCGTGCCTTGTTCATAGATCTAAACTCGTGTCA